TTGAACGCCGACTGAGAAAGTGAAGTAGATTTTGGGTATTAACGAAAGAGTTAATGATTTTTTCTTACCCAAAAAATGGCGCAATGACACTTTCACATCCTCAAACTTTTAAAATACCATTTGAGTATCCAAAGCAATAATTCAATTAATAGTTTCCGTCAAAAATAGTGATATTCACTATAAAGATGAAAATACCCTTGATTGTCCGATTTAATTTTTTATTATTATTATTATAATATGTGAAGTCAATATAGTCAATTACCTATATACCCATCTTTTTATAACGAAAATAATATCCCCAACAATGTGTAAAAATTAGATGACAAATTTGTCCCTAATGTTTGTAATGAATAACTGTTGAGGATTTGAAATTTTAAGATATGTGCAATAACCATTTTGTCCCTGTCAGCGTTGCAAACTAAGCTAAAATTATATTACATTAATTTTGTCAATTTTAACCCAATAAAGATCCAGATTGCAGAATCACAATGCATTTTACTCAATAGAAAGCAAACAAAATTTGGGATTCCGTACAAATCTCTTCAATAATGCACAGTTAAAACCAGCAGTTTAAAAAGGGGTAGAACAAAAAGTTGGCAGAAAAATATCATTGACACTGTCAGAATTTTGATTTAATATACATAGAGCAAAATGTGATCAGTAATATATACATAGAGAAAAATGCATTGAATACGAGCTGTCCTAGGTGACCAAGATGGTAAAACTGCTGCTTCCTGTGATGCAAAAAGTTGAGGATCTCCAAGGTGTGCTATGACCTGAAACAAAATTTTACAATAACCTTCAGCCAAATTAAAAACTAATCAATTCAATACAACAACTCAAAAAGACAGCCAAAAGAATTAGCAACTAATGCAGCAATAACAACCAACAGCCAAGAAAACAAGCAAAAAGATGGAGCTCTATTGATATTCAGTAAACAACCAATAATGATGAACAAATTAGCTAGGAATTAGTTCAACACAATAACCAAAATAGACAGCCAAAAGCATAACAAAAACAATGCCTACAAGTAGTCTGCTCTCTCCATCACTTTTTATTTTCTCCAACTCTCTCTATAACCAACAAACATCTTGTGACAATCTCAATTAAAAACCAATCAATATCACACCCAAACGCAACACAACTTCATTAATGTCAATCCAGTAGTAGAAGCTACATATTACAATCCTCCCAGCTAGGGCATAGATGCAAATCCAAACCTATCAAACAGATTTCCTTTGAGGTGAAGGGTCAAACTTAGGTTGGATGAAAGATTACTGAACTGAGGTTGCAAGAAACATCCCCTCCCCAACGCCAGACTTTCCTTTCCTCTTATCTTACTGGCTATTGAAATGGATGTGACAAAACCTTGTCCAGAAGGATCGAGATACCATGCATTCTATGGCCTCCATTGTTGAGTAAATAATTTTAGGCTTAGATCCTTTAAAAAGCAATGGTCTTCCATTAAGATTAGTCTTAAATGATTCATGTTGCTTCTTGGTTTAGGTTCTCTTCCATCTGCAGCAAGGGAGTTAAATTTAATGGCTATGAATTATGACAATTAGTTTGTTTTGTGTTAACGGGGCAGCAGGTTCAGAGTTTAATATCTTAGGGTTGTTAGTGGCTATTTCATCCAAGATAGTAGCTGCCATTTGAAAACAAGGGGAATAGATTAAATGAGGGAAATAGAAACACCCTAGTTCAACAATCTTCTAACTGATATTGTGATAATCAATTTAGGGCTATACTTCCACATGAATTGTTGGAATATACTTGGTGTCAATCAAAATCTTTCTGGCTATCTCAATTTAAATTTTTTCTCTAAACTGCAAGATTTTGATTATTATTGGTCAAATTAATATTTTCACTTAACTTTTAACTGTGTCATTTTTACATTTTGTACTTGTTCTAACCTAATCTTCTTTGGGAATTTTGCTACATTCATACTACCATTTATTTGATACTTTCTCAATCATTTCTATAATGAACTAAACTTGGCCTGAGAACTTTTTGCATGTGGAATACCCTACTCTGTATTTTATTAATTTGGTTGCAATTATTCATCTGGACATTGATGAAATGCATTTAGGTAAGATGAATGATAAAAGTTATAAGCTATTTTCTTTGAACTTGGGATTAATGGATTAGTAGAAATTGGTTTTTCTCATCATACACCAACTGACAACTATAGAGCGATAATGGATAGATGGTCTAATAACTGCCTTGATAAATTGAAATTGTAATATTACAAATTGCTCGTGGGAACTAATTTTACATTTGTGTTCGTTTCAGTCAATGATTCTTGGCTTGCCAATGGGGATCCAACTGAAGCAAGAACCAAGATGTTGATGGATAATTGTTGAGGTTGACATAACTGGTCTGTAAGTGCAAAAAAATTTCTATTGTAAATGTGTAAGAAGCTGGTAGGAGGCTGTTCTTCCCTTGTTGTACACATATTTAGTCACATATTTGGTGCCATAATGAAAAATATCCCCATTTTTGGAAACCTGAAATATTTAGCAACCCAAGTATGAGATCGATGCACCATATAGTAATAACGCCAACTTCCTATCATCTGTTGGCAGCAGCTACAAAATCTCTAGCCAGATTAAGCTGAATTTGAGTTAAAAGCTTCATGTGTACAAAATCCTTGCAGTGGTCCTGATATGCCACTACTACATGTATGCTATTGTGTCAGTTTTCCAAATCCTTTTAACATATCGTATTAGACCAATACAAATGTTTGATTATTTTCTTTTATGTTATTATCATGATTGATGGGGCTATTAAATGATGTGACTTCCTTATATAGTCAATTAAAGATTATATTATTTATCAGTTTACATTTGAAAACTTCATTATCTGGGAAGCCCTTGGATCCAAGAAAGGTTGTAGGATACTATCAATTAGCCTGCAGCAAAAAGTAGCTCTCAAAAATAAATATCAAATAAACACGGAGACAAGAATGCCGATCAAATTAAGTATTGATCCATTGTTGTTTTGCTTGTGCTTGGGCAAAAAATCTGAGGCTTTTTTGTGAATTTATCATACGTATGACTCTGTTTTCTTGAATGATTAACTTCTTATTAATATACCATAGTTGAGTGCTCATATGATGTGTTCTAAAATGATCTGTAACATGACATTTCTAGGCTCAATTTTGAAATCATTGACAGGAAAAGAACCTGGTTGTACTTGTCGAAGGTGCCGAAATTGCTTGCAAAGGTCTTTGTAGAGCTTGAAAAAATTCTCAAAAGATCAAAGAGTGTTGTGTGTTGTTACCTGACTAGTATATTATATCCACTCGCCTCCATCTGCATTTAATTCGCATCCGAGTTGCTGTTTTTGTTTTAGTTTAGTACGTCTTGTCGCATCGTTGTCATTGTCTAAAGTCCTCCAGAGCTTCGACAAATGCTTTGTTTTTCTGAAATTTTGCTTCGCTCAATTGCTATACTACATTATTTTCTTGCTAAAAACTGCCAAATTGTTTTAGACATGCTGCATTTTCTAAAATATTGATGGATTTGTGATAAGTATGACCTGTTTTCTAAAATATTTCACTTCATAGACATCTTTCGCAGCCCTATCTTCTTAGATAACTCAAAAGTTGAGTAGCAACATTCTACTTTTATGGAAAAAGATCATTGCATGCCGTTGTTTTACATATATTTTTTATGTTGTTTCACTGTCTTGTGTTTGGGATTATTTGTAAAGTTTTATTTTTTTTTCAGCTTTAATTTTTTATGAACTTTCAATTTAATTATCTAGAATTATATTTTAGGAATAGTGATGGTGGGGGTATATAGTATAAGGTAATGAAATGTTATCTCTTTTATTATATCAAAAATGGAAAGAATGGCATTTATGAAATTTATGGGGTTTCATAAATAAAAGTAATTTTGAAATGATGCGTCTAAAGAAATGGAGATTATTTAGTCAATTAATAGGATGTCAATTGCTCCACTCTTGTAGAGCAATTTCAACATTACCATTGTAATGCCCAATATCAGAACAGAAGTGTTGTAGCCTTGTAGGTCTTATTCTAACTTGATGCAAGTTATGTTCGGCCCATGTGTTGTGTCTGGCTGGTTTTACCCTTTCATTTCAACTTCATAGAGAATTAGGGTGAGTTTGGAGTTGTAATTTCTCTAATAAGCACTTATTTTATAAGCTATTTATGATCTCAAATGTCTTTGGTAACCACAATTTAAAAGTGATTATAACAGAAGTTGATTATTGAATATTCTATTTCATTAAATGATTCCAAAGGTAGATTTTTGTATCTTTTATAATTCAAAAGTTGCTTTTGAAAAGTCTATTAAAAAAAAGCTTCATATATGTAAAAAAAAAAAAAAAAAGTTAAATAAATAATTTAATAATTTATTCATAAATTTAAAATTATTCAAATGGTAGTAGGTTGACAGTCAATAGTGGTCAACATCAATCAACAATATCTATTTTAATAATATATCTTAATAATAATAAATCATATTTTGCTCTTTTTACAGTCAAAGGTAGTTACTCGTAAAGATAAAAGTAAAAAGCATGTTGGCGCTAAAGAGGATTCAACTGTTACTATGAATGGTTGTAATAAAAGTCTCTAAAGCAACAAAGGGGTGATTCTTCTACCAGACCTGGTCTGATTTTGAGAAGGAGGAGTATCCCTCATGGTGTTTGTGTGGCTGGCGAGTGAGCCTCATGCTTGGCTGTGGTTATTGCTTGTGTTGGGTTGGCTGGGTGGTTATTTTGGGTGTTGGGCTGGAGAAGGTGCAAGCAGGTGGAGGGGTTGAGGGTTGCTTTAAGATGGAGTAATCCGCTTTGGGAGGCTGGCTACTTTCCTACTGCGGTGGGTGCTTTGATCAAGAATTTCTTCAAATAGTCATAGTACAATATAAATTCTTTAATTATTAAACATCATGGGAAGCCATAGCAAAAGCATTAAACTGTTCACTAGATGTACTACTTTTCTATGGGATATAAGACATTTGGCATTACCAAATCTAAAATTTAAACATTGAAAAGGAAGAACAAGAAAAAGAATACAAAAAATAAAAGACAGAAACACAAGAACTCAACATCTAAAGGGCCTAAAGGGCCTAACTCATCACTAAATCTAAAACTTTACTACCCTTAAACTTCCTTTCTCTCTAACCCTTTTTTCAGTTGTCTCACTACAGTCCTCTTCTCTTCTCTTCTACTAGCTAAAATATTGGTTGCCTACTGCTTCTAATTCCACCATTCCATCCCTGTACAAAATCAAATGAACGAAGAAATGAAATAACAGTAAGCAAATAGCACATTAAGCCCAGAAAAACAGCCAAAAGTAGAGGAGAAATATTCCAAACTAGGAATATTGTTCTCCGCGTTAGCCTATACCTCAAATGTATTCCAATGCAAGGTTGTTACTCATTAGAAATCAGGTCCTGGGAATTGTGGTGGTGCCATCGGATTCGGATGTTGCTACTAGGTTCAGAGATGGCCTATGTTTTAGCTGTCAGGTGACGGTTGTTGATGAGGAGAATGGGCGAGATCGATCTGGTAGCCCTCCTTTGAGAAATGTCAGAGATGATGGCGGAGGAATGCCAAAATTGGGGTTGGGTAAGTTTGAGGAAGATGAAGAAAGGACTAAGTCCTACTATCTTAGATCCAAGTCAGGGAAAGCTTGAAATTTTTGGGCTGGGGCATGTTATTCTTCGTGGGCTGGGCAAAAAGGTGGATCATGGGCTTGCAAAGGGGCCCTTTGTTGCTAAGGAGCTCTTCAAAGTCTTTGGATGTGGGTGGAGACTCATTGGCTGGAAGGTGATGAAACCCGTCAATGTGTTTTAAAGATGGCATGGTGATTGGTTCTAGGCAAAAAGGATTGTCTCTGGCAGGGGGTTAATAAATCTGGTTCTCCTCCAATGCTATCCGTCGAGCACACTTGCCTTTCTCTGGAGATTGTCAAGAATCGCTCATGGGCAAATGTTTCTTTGATTATTTGATTATAGGATGAGAGATAAATCTGAAACTATTTATTTCTTGATGCAAAAATAAAAAATAAAATAAGAATTTAATATCAGAAGAAAAGATTCTTGAAGGCTTTCAATGAAACACTTTACAAAAATACGCTTTTTTGGAGATAAATAGAAAAAGGAGATTTATTTGAATATTTTCAAATTTCAAAAAACATTACAACAGCAATATTATCTGATCTGATCTTCTGCAACGTTATACTTCTTCAAATCTCTCCAATTCCTCTCTCTCTCTTAACCCTAACAAAGCTCTCTAATTCCTCTCGCTCTCAAATCTCTCCCAGCCACTGTAAAGGTTCTCAATAAGGAGCGCCACAGTGAATGGCTTGCATGTCTTTCTCTCTCTCTTTCGTTTCATTGTAACGTGGTTTTTTCAATTAACTAATTAATTTTTTTTCGCAGACGGAAGCTGTTGGAAGAACAATGGTCAGCCTTGTGATGGGAATGTGACTTTAGATGTTACTCGTTACAGTGAGATGATTATAAATCCTGAAGTAGGATATTCTTGGTGCAAATCTGATGGTCGGAAAGATGTGGAAAACTTCCCATATAATGCTCATCATGTTTACTGTTCTCCAGGAAATGCTGAGTGAGTATCCTGAGGAGCCATTCAATCTCTGTGATGCGTTTAGCAATCCTCAACCTCAGGAATCCTGCAGATTCTACCACACCCGGTTTGGGGCGACTACGGATGCCCAACGAAGAGGGGACCTGGGAGCTTGATGTTGGAAGATTATCTCATCACTTTACGTCTATCAGGATCCTGGTACAGAACCTGTAAAGAGGCATTGGCCATCAATAGACTTGTTGACCGAAATTTATGTTAGTAGTCAGGATCAAGTTACAGAATGGACGGTTAGTGATTTTGATATTTTAATACCGAAAGAATGAATATTTAGAGTTTCTTTGTTTTGGAAGTTTTTTTTAGGTTGTTAAACATTCTATAGCCACAAGTTAATAGTGATAATATTGTTATGATCTTCTCTAGAATTTTAGTCTTCAGAAATGATGATAAAAGATGAAGAAATTGTTTTTTCTTTTTCTTTTTTCTTTTTTTTAATAGATTGGATGTCTTAAATGATAGGTGTTGACATAAATTTTTATATTATGTTTTAGTTTTAAAAAATTGCAAATCCACCCAATATCAAATAAACTAAAATGAAAATCGACTCAATACACCCCCAATTCCTAAATCAAACTATAAACAAACCCTAACCCCATAAATCTCTCCCCGATTGAGTCTATTCATCGCCGTTTTCCGATTGCCGTTTTCCCTCTCCTCCGACGAATCGTGCTTCGACTTCTTCTCCTCACTCTCGTCTCACTGTCTCAGATGCTCAACCTCTCAATATCAGGTAAGATTTACTTTACAGCCTCTCAAAGTCTCAATCTCACTCTCACTCTCAGTCTCAACCTCTGAGTGTCAGTCTCGACCTCTTAGTCTAACTCTCATCAGTGTGGTAGTTCATAGGAAAAGTGGGAGATTGATTCGTTTTAAGTGGTTCTAGGGTAAACGAGCTAGGTAGCTTGCTTCTTCTTTAAGTTGAATATGGACTTTCAAGTAGTATTTCAGATGGGAGTACAAACAAGTAAGTAAATTATCTAGCCGATTAACTACTATCTAAGACATTCAGGGGCTATGTAACTGTTGTTATAACACTTTTCTTAATCCGATACGGATGTCGAAAAGTGAAGATTGGTTCTGTACCAGGTCATGGTGAGACGAGAATCACAGCTGAAGCCGTATTATTTTTGAGTCGTGAGTCTCTTCTTCCTTTCACTCAGTCATTCCCATGTCAGTCTTAGTTTTAGACTTTTACTTTATACATGTTTGTTGTTTGTTACTGAATAAGTTGTCATTGTGTAGGAAGCCACTGTTAAAAGCTCCTCCAGGACTCCCTCTGAAAAGGGCTGATCAAGAACTCAAGATTCGTTAGAGGCACAAGCACAACCAAGGGTGAGCATTCAGTAAAACTTAATGATTTTATTGTTTGTTGTTTTTAGCTCCAATTGATTATGAAGATTGTGGATTTTGAAATGAGTTAAGATTATGAATCTGTAAAAGAGAGTCTTGTATGTTATTTGTATGTTGATCAAATAAAATTAGATTTGGAATTTCTGTGATCGATGTGTGCTGTGCTGTGTGCCTTCATGAACTTTTATTTTTTAATTTTTTTTTTCCTTTAGCTTGGTGTTTAGGTTCTGATCGATCTGTGCACCTTTATAAACTTTTGCCTTGGCTAACTTTGTGATTTGGCATATGCAATTTCTCTCCAATCTCCACTACTTTCTTTTTAAATGTTTGTGTAATTTCCATATGTCCAAACATAATTATTTTTTATGACATTAAACCAATCACTAATGTATACGTTTTTGATTTAATGTTATTGAAATGTCTTAGTTTCTTCATTTATAGAATAATATCGTTGTCACTAATGTTGTTTGATAATCAATTTAGTGTTTATGTGACGAATTTTTGTACTTATATTTCCAATACCAATAGCGTTATATTTCTTTCATTATAGGTATAGATTCCTCATCTGGTTCTCGTGCCATGTTGGATGAACACTTGGTTGAGGTTCATATTGAGACCACAAACACAAACCGCACAACTAATAGGAATGAAGCTAAAACTAAAACTCGTGGTAGTAGCCCGCCCAATGAAAATGATGCTAATCCATTCCACAGAAAGAAAAGACCTAAGACATCTGCGACCTGGAATGAATTTACAGAGGTGGTTCTACTCGACAGCACAAAAAAGGCAGAATGCAACCATTGTAAAGCCAAACTGACCATTAATACTACCCGAAACACTACTCAGTTTTCTAGACATTTGAATGTGTGTTCGCGGCGAATGGTTGCCATGAGACAATAACAACAAATTAATTTTCCACCATCAGATTCTAGTATGGGGCAAACTTAGATGTCAACTCTAATAGGTGGTAAGTTTGATATGGTAGTTATGAGGGAATTGGTTTCACATTGGGTGCTTATGCATGAGCACCCATCCACAATTGTGGAGGAAAAGGGTTTAAGCAGATTGCTAAAGTATGCGACGCCTTGCTAGGAAAGGATATCACGTATTACTAGTAGAAATGATTGTGTGAAGGTATATGATATGGAAAAAGGAAGTTGAAGAATCTGCTGAAGAGTGTCGATAAAATAAGTTTGACGACTGATTTGTGGAATTCAGGCAACCAGAAGATTGAATACATGGTTCTAATGGGGCATTGGATAGATCCTAGTTGGAGGTTGAACAAGCGTGTGCTTAGTTTTGTTCATTTACCTTCTCCTTGGGGTGGGATTCAAATTGCTGATTGTATATTCAAGTGTTTAAGGAAATGGGGAATTGAAAACAAGGTCTTCATGATCTCAGTTGATAACACCTCAAGTAATGATGTGGCAATAAGGGTTATGAGGGAAAACTTTTCCATAACTAAAAAGCTAGCTTGTGGAGGTAAACTGTTTCACGTTAGGTGTTTTGCGCATATATTAAATATAATGGTGCAAGGTGGTCTTCCTCAGACTAGGCACGTCACTCAGAAGGTCCGTGATAGTGTGTCGTACATCAACCAATCAAAGAGTAGGCTTACCATTTTTTCAAAGATTGTACAACACTTGCAGTTGGCATACCAGAAGCTAATCATTGATTGTAAAACGAGGTGGAACTCAACTTATGAGATGTTGTTAGTTAATTGAAGTTCAAAATGGTGTTTTCAAGGTACTACAAAAGAGATCCGAATTATCATTCTTGTCCCAACTTAGAAGACTGGGACAAAGTTGAGAAAGTTTGTCAGATTTTGAAAGTTTTTAGTGATGCCACAAATATTATTTATGGGAGTGACTATCCTACATCAAATAAGTTTCTGGCTGAGGTTTGTAGGGTGAGAATATTGTTGGATAGACATGCAAATGATGAGGATGATTTTGTTCAGAACATGATAAGGTTGATGAAAGCCAAGTTTGATAAATATTGGGAAGAGTGTAATTTGTTGATGGCTATTGCTATGGTATTGGACCCTAGGTGCAAAATGAGAGTGATTGAAAGTGCTTTCCCCAAGATATTTGGTCCTCAGGAATCCTGAATGCATGTTGCAAGAGTTATGGAGGCCTTATATGAGCTGTATAGGGAATATGTGGTTGATAGGCAATCTTCTATTGCCAATCGCAATGCTAATGTAGGGGTTAGTGGTGGGCCTAGCAACAGTGGGGTGTCTATGGGAGATGACTCTTCT